ACTCTTCAGGAGTTCTGAGATTATTGAAATTAAGTTTCAACGTAATACCCTTTCTTTTCTGAGTAGGACTCTCCTGGTGGACGTGTGCTAACCGTGAATGTATCCTTTTTCTTTTCTAATATCTATACAAAGTATAACCATTGCTCAGGAAGAGATGCATAGCAGCCGTCAACAACCAGCCTTCCTTAATAGAAGGATACAGATATCTCAACTATTGATGTGAAATTTTTCTTAGGAAATGTCTGCATTGATTGCCTGCCTAGCGGTGACTAGTTCTGAATTTGGATGATTCTAAATATCTCACCAGGACTTTTTTGGTGGAAATTGTTGCTGCTCCTAGTCTTTGAGCCAAGCGGGTTGCCGGAGGAGACTGCTGCCCACGGTGTATGGCTTCCCCCCATTTCAGGTCCATCACCTCCTACATCACGCTATCTTATTCTCTCTTGCCCTTCGCAACTTACTCATGCAAAACTCCTCTGAAGGGTGACAGAGTCTGTCATTTCATTGGTAGAATTGGATAAAACTGTTGATTCTCTTGGAAAAAAAGAGACAGATGAAATTTAAATCTTTTAACATATTTAAGTAACTAAAGCTAAATTCTTCCCTGGACACAAACCTTGATAATCAGAGGAAAGAAACTGAAGCTACTGGCTACTTAAATACAAGATAAAGTTGAAGGATACTGTGGTTCCCTGGAAAAATGAAAAGAATAGAGTCAAGAAGATACATCAGCACACTTTAAAATTCTGCTTAAAGTTAACTCTGCTTTTTGTGATATTTTTGGTGACAGTGTCAAAAAAGGCCAAGTCTTGAGCAAATCTAGTTAAATACCTTCAGTGTACAGTATCAGGCCCAAAGATAAAAATTCCAAAAATGATGTAATGCATAATCTGGTTTCTGACGAGGCATGCCTACACTTACTATTTGAATGTTTGGATAAGGATTCAAGAAAAGACAACATTATTTTACAAGATGGAACACGATTCGTTGATAGATGAATCAAATGGTTGTGCTTTTAGTTCAAACAAAACAATGATCTTCATGGTCTGCAGCAGTCAGAGAAGATTTTGTAGAGGAAGATGAACTTCCATGTAACCTTACAGGATAGGGAAGGGTTAGGTAGGAGGAGAGGAGATACAGGACCACTGACTGGGAGATGAATTCCCACGTATAGATGAGACCATCACCACTTGCCAAGTACATGACCTACCATGTCCTCCTGATTTGTAGCCAATCTGCAGTACAGAAACTGCCTGGGGTTGCCTCCCAATTGCTCTAATCCAGAGTGAACAATCCTGGCTAATATGAATCAGTTCCACTCTGGCCCACAAAGGCTCTTTTCTCCAAGCAAAAGGTGGTAGAGGCTTTGTGGCAATTTAACATAAATTACACCTGAAATGAACACAAACCTTGGTACTGTGAAAACTCTTCCTTCAGTGTCTTCAATAGATTATTTAATATGAAAATGAATACATGCATGTATGCAAGACTGAGACGTTGTGCTGTATACCAGACGGTGACACATTGTAACGGACTGTACTCCAATGAAAAAAAACAGACTATTTAAAGAAATTGACATATTAAGCTGAGATAGTTTGTCTCCAAGTTTCTTTTAAAAAATGAATTCTATATTCCATTGGATAGATAGATAGATAGATAGATAGATAGATAGATAGATAGACAGACAGACAGACAGATAGATAATTCTTTTGCATTTAGTTTGTCATTTTTAAAAAAAATTCTTTTGTATTTAGTTTGGTTCCTCTTTTATTACTATGTGACTTTCTGGGTCCTAAAATCGTATGATCTCAATATTTTGGCACAGCAAACACAACACCGCAAAGAAAAATAAAAACCTTGGCAAGGCTTCTTTTTTTCCAAGAACTGGGCTCAAAAAAATGATCTGGGAAGGATCAAAAAGCTGACAAGTTTAGCAAGATGCTTATTCCTGCACGACGATTGCTGGCATTGTTTGTTCTTGGTTCTGTGGATCAAAAAGGGAAGAAAAAGCCAGAACGTTGCGGTGGTTCAGGAAATGAGTCTGACTCTCAGCCATTATCACTGTGTCACAAGCGACACCACAAGAGCAGGTCCTTTACAAACAGAAACTGAAGCATCCTCCTCAGAGCCTTTGGTGGGATGGTAAGGGGCTGAGAAGAGGAGGGAAAAGCCTTCAAAACACCCACGAGGCTCTGTGTAACGGAGAATCTTAAAGGTAGAAGGACATCTAAGCAATCATGTGTTCAAGCCTTTAGTTTACAGGTGAGTAATCACGTGCAGGGAAGTCACGTGATTCACGGAGTGACAGTTTCTAACAGAGGAAACCCCAAACCTATTGTTCATTATGCTTTGAAATGAAAAATGGGTTAGGTCGGTAGAAAGCAGAAATATTTTCATTCTATGGGGAAAGGGAATTCTCTTGGGGAATATGATTTTCATAGTTAGAATATGCCAAATGAGGTTACCCATACTTTCTTCTTTTACCCCATTATGCTTCATTCTCTTTCAGCATAAATTCCATTAGCTCAGGAACTTAATTTCCTTGTCCACCGCCAGATCCACAGAGCCCAGAACAGTGGCCAGCATACAGAAGGAACTCACTACATATGGGTTGAGTGTATAAATCTATTTAAGCTTCTCGGGGCCATGCAAATGTCATGATTAATGAAATTAATCTTTGAACAGTTGGTGGAAATGGTGTTCTCCACGTTCAGGACTTGCATTCGCCCTCCTTCCTCATCTGTAAAGTGAATATTTACATTAAATGATGATCCTAGTACTTTCCAGGCCTGGCTTCCTGAGTTCCTTTTTGTATTTTAAGTTGCACTAGAGTATAAAGCTTCCCCCAAATAGAATATTTATATCTTCAGAGGAACGGTTTCAAATAACCTGGGAAAAGAGAAAGTACAGAGGGATGATAATTAGTGAAAGTGAGATTTGTGCTGGCAGAGGGCGTATAAACTTATCAGTGAAATAGGTCAGAGCTCACAGAACCAGGATCCTCCGTGAAAGCATCCATCTGTCCATCTAACGTGTACTCACTGGCACCTCCTGTTTTGCATGGTATTTTGTGTGGCTCTGAGGATAGACTCTGATTTCTCTAGTTGGGGAGCTTAACAAATGCTACCAATATGGGGGGATGACTACTGCACAGACAGACTAACCCATGAAAGCTTTGGGGTTCTCTGCTATTTCTCCAAGTAACAACCTTAAGAAGGTCATGACAAGTCATGATCTTGTAGCTTGAACTTATTAAATTCTTAAAAACCAACTTAATGTTCTGAAGGCATTTTGGAAAGCTTAAAGCAGCACACAGATAAAGTATCAGTGATGTTACTTTGCATTCGGTATAG